ATTCCGGGCATACGCCCAACTCCCAAATCACGATACGAACCTACCGGAACTATCAAAATACTTATCCGAGCCCGTTTGCTCAAAATGTTGACCAAAGTCAACTCAATTGAGTTTTAAAGCTCTAATCCACATTTTAATCCATTTTCACATAAAAACTTTCCATAAAATTTTATGGATTGCGCACGCAAGTCGATGAATGATAAATAGTATTTTTCGAGGTCTTAGAACACATAATTAATTATTAAATTTAAAGATGACATTTTGGGTCATCACTACACTAGTTCCATCTTGCTGATTTCTCCGAACTTTAACTCCTTGAGCAACTGCTTGACCCAAACTAACTCACACGTCATCATAGCCATGGCCCGATATTCGACTTCGGCGCTATATTCAACTATATTCTATTTCTTTCTCTTCCACGAGACCAAATTACCTCCTACTAGAACACAATATCGAGACGTAGAACGTCTATCAAAAGGTGATCCTGCTCAATCAGCATCTTTGTACCCAACAATCTGCTCGTGGCCTCGATCCTCGAATAGTAATCCTTTGCCTGGAGCTGACTTTATATACCGAAGAATGCAAACAACTGCATCCCAGTGACTATCACAGGGAGAATCCATAAACTGACTTACAACACTTACCGGAAAAGAAATATCAGGTCTAGTCACTGTGAGGTAATTCAATTTGCCAACCAACCTCTTATATCTCGTAGGGTCTCTACGAGGCTCCCCCTGTCTAGGCAGAAAATTAACATTCAGATCCATAGGAGAGTCAATAGGTTTGCAACCCATCATTCCAATTTTCTCAAGAATGTCTAAGGCATATTTCCGCTATGAAATAACAATACCTGAGCTAGACTGAGCGACCTCAATACCTAGAAAATATTTCAATCTGCCCAGATCCTTAGTCTGGAAGTGCTGAAAGAGATGTTGCTTCAGATTAGTAATACCATCCTGATTATTACCAGTAATAAGAATATCATCAACATAAACCACTAGATAAATACACAGATTAGGAGCAGAATGCCGATAAAACACAGAGTGATCAGCCTCACTACGAGTCAGGCCGAACTCCTAAATAATTGTGCTGAACTTACCAAACCAAGCTCGAGGGGATTGTTTCAAACCATATAGTGACCTGCGCAATCTACACACACAACCATTAAACTCCCCATGAGCAACCTGCTCCATATAAACTTCTTTCTCGAGATCACCGCGGAGAAAAGCATTCTTAATGTCTAACTGATAAAGAAGCCAATGATGTACAACAACCATGGACAAAAAGAGACAAACATATGCTACTTTAGCCACGGGAGAGAAAGTATCACTATAATCAAGCCCAAAAATCTGAGTATATCCTTTTGCAACAAGACGAGCCTTAAGCCGATCAACTTGGCCATCATGGCCTACTTTGACTGCATAAACCCAACGACAACCAACAGTAGACTTACCTACAGGAAGAGGAACAAGCTCCCAAGTGCTACTCGCGTGTAAAGCAGACATCTTGTCAATCATAGCATGTCGCCATCCTGGATGAGATAATGCCTCACCTGTAGACTTAGGGATAGAAACAGTGGACAAAGAAGATATAAAGGCATAATGAGGTGACGACAGACGATGATAACTTAAACCGACATAATGGGAATTAGGATTAAGTGTGGATCGTACACCTTTGCGGAGTGCAATTGGTTGACTAAGAGGATATAAGTTCGCAGTAGGTGCAGAATCTGATGCGGGGCGTGAATCACCTGGGCCTGATGCTGGATGTGGACGACGATGATAAGTCAAGAGTGGTGGAGCTGCAGAAGGTTGAACTGGATTATGTAGAGGAACTAAAGCTATAAGTGGTGGAGCTACAACCAGAGCTGTAGGTGGTACAACTAGAGCTATAGGTGGTGAAGCTACAACTGGAGCTATAGGTAGTGGAGCTACAACTGGAGCTGTAGGTAGTGGAGCTGGAGTGACTGAATCTCTAAAAAATGAAACTGGTAGAACCTCAGAAATATCTAAGTGATGACCTGAACCTGTGAAGTATGATTGGGTTTCAAAGAAGGTAACATCAGCGGACATAAGGTACCGCTGGAGGTCAGGAGAGTAGCATCGATACCCCTTTTGTGTTCTCAAGAAACCCAAAAATACACACTTAAGAGCACGAGGAGCTAACTTATCTGTTCCCGGAGTAAGGTTATGGACAAAACAAGTGCTTCCAAATATACAGGGTGGAAGAAAGAACAAAGGTAAGTGAAGAAACATGACAGAGAATGGAACTTGGTTCTGGATAGCTGAAGATAACATACGATTAATAAGATAGCAAGATGTAAGAACTCCATCCCCCAAAAAACGCAATAGAGCATGAGATTGTATGGGTAGGGTACGAGCAGTTTCAATAAGATGTCTATTCTTTCTTTCAGCTACCCCATTTTGTTGAGATGTGTACGGACAAGATGTTTGATGAATAATCCCATGAGATTTCATAAACTGCTGAAATGGGGAAGACAAATACTCTCGGGCATTATCACTACGAAATGTGCGAATAGAAACCCCAAATTGATTTTGAATTTCAGCGTGGAAGGTCTGGAAAATAGAAAACAGCTCAGATCGATTTTTTATCAAAAATATCCAAGTGCACCTGGAATAATCATCAATGAAACTGACAAAGTAGCGGAATCCCAAGGTGGAACTGACCCGACTAGGACCCCAAACATCTGAATGGACTAAAGTAAAAGGTGACTCTACTCGATTATCAAGACGCTGAGGGGAATGTGTGCGGGTATGCTTACCAAGATGACATGACTCACACTCTAGAGCTGACAAGTGAGATAAACCAGATACCATTTTCTGAAGTTTTGACAAACTGGGATGTCTCAACCATTTGTGTAATAAATCTGGTGAATCAGTAACATGACAAGCTGTAGAAGAAAGACAAGATGCGAGTCCATGTGATTTAGCAAGGATAAGATAATAAAGTCCGTTTGATTCACTCCCGGTACCAATGATCCACCCCGTACTACGTTCCTGTATAAAAACATAGTCATCAAGAAATAAAATAACGCATTTAAGTGATTTGGCTAGGCGACTAACAACTATGAGATTAAAAGGACTATTGAGAACATAAAGGACTGAATCTAAAGGTAAGGAAGGAAGTGGGCTTGCTTGACCTATTGCAGTTGCCATAGTTTGAGACCCATTGGCCATTGTGACTTTTGGAAGAGATTGAGAATACGAAATAGTAGTGAAAAGAGATTTGTTACCAGAAATATGATCTGAAGCATCTGAATCAATGACCCAAGACTCAGAGGATGAAGATTGGAAGAAACAAGTCACACTATTACCTGTTTGAACAACAAAAGCTACCTCGGAAGATGTCTGCTTACATGCTTTATACTCAAGGAACTCAATATACTCTACTAAAAAAACCATATGACTATTCATTGCATCGGTTCCCATGTCGCTCTAATTTATAGTAGTAGGGTTAACTTTAAATAGTGAAAATAAGTAACTCTTGTAAGAAAACTGAAGAAATAGCTTGAAAAACACTATTTACAGCAGGAAAAACAGAACATTGTTCTGTACCGGAAACACTGCAGCTCTCCGAAAAATTCCAAAGTTGTCGAAATTTATCATAACCAGGATGGATAGACTCGGAATTCCTTTGGGAGCAAGCTGTTCTGAAGAAATATTTTCAAAATATGGCTGGAAAGGTCATTGTTCATGCCGAAAAAATATAAAAGTGGTCGGAATTTAATTTGAATTAGATGGGTAGGCTCGGAATTTTGAGGAGAGCACACTGTCCTGAAGAAGCTTTGCGAAAAATGGTCGGAACCCTCGCCGGAAAAGTTATTGTTGCCGGCGCGTGGAGGAGCGTGGCGGCTTTTCTGCCGGATAAAATTTCAGGGGTTGGTCGTCAGAGGGTGANATATATATATATATATATATATATATATATATATATAGATATTTTAACTTGTTAGTTGTTGTGACTTATAATACTTTTAAGTATTTTCTAAATATGTAAATTTTATTTTTAAAAATTAAAGATTATATGTCTGAATTTACACCAAAAACTAGTCAGTTTGACCCTCGTATTCTGATGAAGTTTACATAAATTGAGACGAAAAGAGTACAAAGTATGTTCTCCCACTCCATCTTCTTCTTGAATTAATAGACCTCTCTACCTCACCCGACCATGATAAACCCACGTCCCTATTTTTTTGGTAACAACTGTAAATATTACACTTTCTTAGAAAGTTGTTTTAATTAACTCAAAGATACAGGGGAGTCCAAACATACAACTATCTACGCGTTTGGTAAACACTCAAAGTGATTATAAGCTAAAATCAGTCATAAGTCATAAGCTGGTCACCCCAAACTTATGGCTTTTCAGCTTATAAGCACTTTTAGTTTGACCAACACTTTTACTAGTTTATCCTTAATAATATATTCTAATTCACAAAATACTTTTCCCAAAATAAATTTCTTGACTTTCTCTTCATTCCATATTCGTTATTAATTCTTTTCTTTACAAAGAAATTTTTAATTTATAATCTTTTGAAAAAAATTCAAGGGTATTTTAGTCATTTTAACAAAAAAATAGTTTATCCGTACTTTTTAATCAAACACATCAACTGCTTATTATCAGTTTCAGCACTTCTATCTAAACACGTAAATGCTTATTTTAAAAATCAGTTTCAGCACTTCTATCTAAACACGTAAATGCTTATTTTAAAAATCAGTTTCAGCACTTTAAAATATTTTTCAGCACTACAAACTTATCAGCTATTTACAATCAGCTAATCCAAACGGGCTCTATGTTATATGTAATCTAGAGTGATAACAAAAAAATGTTGGTTGACGGTTGTTGGTCTCTTAGGGTGATAATGTTTCTACTTACAAATCTAGGGGGTTATAAGATATTCACAAACTTAAGAGGGTAATTGGCAAAAGGGAACAATTCGGGGGATGCTTATGCATTCTCCCTTTTAACTTTATTGTTAGATCGCCGAATAACATAGAATTCGAGGGTCTTGTACGCACTTGACCGAAACTGTTAGCAAGATTTTTGATTTTTTTCGCAATACTTGATCCAAAGTAGTTCAAACTGAGTGAAAGTAGTTCCTACGGGAAAATCTTCAATTCTAGGGTTAGGGTTTCAGATCTGAGCAAAATCATTGGGGGAAGGATATGGCGATGAGAAACTTTTACAACGAGATCAAGGGCATGAGAGTGAAGGAGGTGGGGACTTACCTCAAGCCGATGTTCTCCGTGGGTTACGCGAAGAGTGCTGTGAAGAGGGGATTGGATAATTACCATGCCAAGTACATCCAAACCAGCTCCGTTGATCCCGTCTACCACGTCTGCTTCGGAGGCATGGCTTTCTCCTACCTCGTCGCCCTTCCCGAAGAGCGACGCCACCTTGAACACAAGCAACACGCCAAACATTGATCCTCCCGAGGTATCTTTTTACTTCACTTGAATTTAGCTATTAAATTGACATTGAAATAGCGCCTTTATACAGTTTTCATTGAAATCCTGGGGTGAAATCTAGTAATATTTATGTTATATATATAAATAGGTTTGGCTTACTAGCTATACTGTTTGCTACCTAAGATATATATTAAAATGGATCAGCCGGTGAATTTAGAAGCTAAGGCTCCCGGCAATCTGTATCGTGTGGGAAGCATATTCTTCACTTCACACTGATTGGCGCATTGCATCACTTCACATTTAGCAATCACAGTTTTTTTATTTTCGCGGGGACATCGAACCATTTCTACATGTTCTCTTAGGATCCTTTCGAACTAGGGATATCTCATTCACGTAGTCCATTTGTGAGAGAGGAGATAGCTTGAGCAGATTTTGATTTTTATACTTCAAATTTGCTCAACTTGTGTGCCGTTAATGCTAGTTTGTTTCCTCTATTGTTTTCTTTGGAGGGTTGGTAAGGTGAAACTTCTTTTAAAGGTCACGAGGTTGATGAAAAAGAACATATAATAATACTTTGGTAGTTGGAGTGTCAACATTATCCTGTTGAAGATGCTATAATATTTGTGGGCCGCAGTCTAAGGATATGTTTGATATGTTTTGCGAAGCACTTGGGTTCCCCTTAGAGTCAGTATTTGAAGGAGGATTGATTGTGGATTCTGAAAGAAAACAGTTTGTAGCCTGCAGGAATATGGTCCATCCAATGATCAGCAGAGCTGTGTCTTTCTCTAAGTGCCAATCGTAGTTGTGGTTAGATCTTGGAACTTAGAGTCACAAGGATATTCTTTGATTTGAATTTTTTATGATTTTGTCCTAATTCTTTTATTTTCCCGTGCTCTCTCCTTCGTCCTAGTCTCCTAGACTCTAGTTCCATCCTCCTGTGTACCTAGTTTTAAAACGTGATGTCTTCTACTCTTCATTTAATTTTTTGTTTTTCTCCCATGCTGGAAATCAAATCTAGTTTCTTTGTTTGCACGTGTGTGCATTCTCCCTCAACTTCTCATCTATTTGTTGTAAAATGTGTCATCTTTCTTTTCGCTGCATATTTCCCTCCTTAACTCATCTACTTTATTGTAACTTGTATCATGTGCAAATTGTATTATTTACGTGCATCATGTTTTTACAGTGGTTTACCACTGTGCAGGGCACAAAGGAAAGCCTTTTGTTCTAAGGCAATCATGTGACACTGTATTTATTTAGGGTGTCATTTCTTTACAGTGATTTACCACTGTGCAGAACTCAAAGGAGAAAGCCTTTTGTTCTAAGGCAATCATGTGACCTTAAGAAACAGTAGGAGGAGAGGAATAAATGAATACTGCAATTTTTTCGTTAATTCTAAAAAATTAATCAATACTGCATTCTCTCTGTGTGTGTGTGTCTAGGCTTATCATTTGATAAGTTTTGTAATTTATCTCGTCATAGAGAGAAGAGAACAGGCTAAAAGAATTTGCAACCACCCTTTGTTATTTGGCTCATCCTAGTGAGTGAGAGAACAAGCTAAGAAAAGGATAACCAATTAGCTTGTTTGGGCACATACTGAGTTGCAACTACCCTTGGGCTAATGATAATGATTGTAAGAATTTCTTCATTTGTATCCATTATTCAGGCAATGATAGAAAATTGTTGTGCTTGACTTAATGATTTATCAACTCATGAGCTGCAATTGACATAAGATAGTTGCTGAGTTGCAACTACCCTTGGGGTAATGACCATATGCAAGATGATAATGTTTCTAATAATTTCTTCATCTATATCCATTATTAGGGCAATGGTGATAGACAATTGTTGTGCATGACTTGATGATTTATTAACTCATGAACTGCATTTTGACGTAAGATAGTTGCTAAATTGTCTCCATTTTCGCCTCGCTATTATTCGTGCACTAAGCAAGCAACTTCATACATGACTTTCCTTTCTTATTTATCCTTGCAAACTATAATTTTTATTTTATAATGAAGAGTATATTCTTCACAGTAGCATCGGGATGATTTACAAGTTACCAAAATGTGAAGAGTCCTCCAAACATCTTTTCAGCTTATCTGTCCATTGATAGGAGGGTGTGGAGGTCGAGGATTAGGGTAGTAGATTAGTAAGTAGTCGAGTGTATTTTTTTTCCAAATCTGTAATTCTTTTCCATAGCTGTAGTACTAGTGTTATCCTCGTATTCCCTATTCTTATATCTCTATTATTACCTGATGTTTCTTTTGCTTCGGTTATATTATTTTCTGGATGTTGTTGCTGCTTCTCTTTCCCTTGCTCTTTGTCATAACTGCTGTGATTTTGCTTTCATTGAGCCGAAGGTCTACCGGAAACTACCCCTCTACCTTCACAAGGTAGGGTCAAGGTCTGTGTACATGCTAATCTCCCCAAACTCCATTTGTAGGAATACACTGGGTATGTTGTTGTTGTTATTGTTTACAGTCCTATGATTATACCCAAAAAAAAAAGATTCAACATACATCTAGTTTTTAGTACTGGGTTTGAAGCTGAAGTCTCCCAAAGCATCTGGTGTTCATTTTCTTTCTTAGTTTCCAAAAAATGCAGTAAGGTATTGCTTGCCATCTCTCCTTCCCCCCCTTCCCTTTTCCATGTTCCATGCTCTCCGGCTTACAAAAGCTTCAAGGCATTGTCCATGGTGTAGAAAAGATATTGAGAAACATACACCTTATATTTCTGGCCATAGCACAATGTAGGAACAAGTGTTTTACAACCTCTACATTTGAGTTTCACAGGCAGCATTTGCTGCAAAGTTTGAACCCTCTTTTCATCAGATTTCGAGTTAGGCAAGGCTTTTACATCACTGTCGAGCTGTAGCATGCCACTTTAAACCTTGCTAAGTAGTCCATCAGCGGCTAAACTTATACTCTCAGTTTGTGTCATGTTATTCTTTAATGTGGGTAAACACTACAACAACAATAACCCAGTGTAATCCTACAAGTGGGGTCTGGGAAGGGTAGGATGTACGCAGCCTTATCCCCTACCCTGGAAGGACAGAGAGACTGTTTATGATAGACTATTGGCTATAGAAAGGATGGAAGAAACACTGATAGCAAGTAATATCAATACAAGGTATTGGAAAACAAAACCCAAGATGACAAAAGAAAGTATGAAAAAAGTACTAATAGTCGGTAATAACAGTACAAGATATGAAATGATTAGCAAACTAAAGATAAAAGGGATACCAAACTAACACTAATACTCTAGGACTAAGGAAGACACAAGAAAATGCTCAACTACCTACTAACCTTCTACCCTAATTCTCAACCTCCACACCCTCCTATCAAGGGTCATGTCCTCAGTTAGCTCCATCCGTGCCATGTCCCGCATGATCACCTCTCCCCAAGACTTCTTTGGTCTACCTCTACCCTTCCTCTTACCCCTCAAGGCCAACCTCTCACACCTCCTGACTGGGACATCTGTGCTTCTCCTTTTAACATGCCCGAACCATCTTAGCCTCGCCTCTCGCATCTTTTCCTCCACATGAGCCATTCTCACCTTGCCCCGAATAGCTTCATTCATAATTCTATCTAACCTAGTATGCCCACACATTTCAACATCCTCATTTCAGCTACTTTCATCTGCTGGACATCGGAGTTCTTGACTGGCCAGCACTCTGCCCAATAGACATAGTCGGTCTAACCACTACCTTGTAGAACTTACCTTTAAGTCTCAAAGGCACACTCTTATCACACAAGACAGCGGAAGCGAGCCTTCCCTGCTCCACCCTGCTCCGATACGATGTGATCTCCCCATCATTCTGAATTATAGACTCAAGGTACTTGAAACTCTCTCTTGGGAATGACTTGCGTATCAAGCCTCACATCCCCCTCGTCCGCTACCTGGGTAACACCGTTGAACTTGCACTCCAAGTATTCTGTCTTGGTCCTGCTCAACTTGAAACCTTTAGACTCAAGGGTATGTCTCCAGACCTCCAGCCTCTCGTTAACACCACCTCGCGTCTCATCAATCAGAATTATGTCATTTGCAAATAACATGTACCAAGGCACCTCCCTTTGAATGTGCCGCGTTAGTGCGTCCATTGCTAAGGAAAACAAAAACGGGCAAAGTGCTGACCCCTGATGCAACCCCATCTCAACCGGAAAATATTCAGAGTCTTCTCCTACTGCCTTTACCCGTGTCTTCGCTCTATCATACATGTCTTGGATCACTCTAATATACGCTACAAGCACTCCTTTAGCCTCCAAATATCTCCATAGAACCTCTCTTGGAACTACTTTGTCATAAGCTTTCTCTAGGTCAATGAACACCATATGCAAGTCCTTCATCGCCCTATACTGCTCCACCAATCTCTTCACAAGGTGAATGGCATCAGTAGTCGACCGTCCCGGCATGAAACCAAACTGATTCTCGGAAATGGACACACTCCTCCTCATCCTCCCTTCTATCACCCTCTCCCAAACTTTCATCGTATGGCTTAACAACTTGATACCCCTATAGTTGTTGCAGTTTTGGATATCCCCATTGTTCTTGTACAATGGAATCATCGTACTCCACTCCACTCTTCAGGCATCTTCTTCGTCCTAAAAATGACGTTAAACAACCTAGAGAGCCATTTCAAACCCACGCTCTTCCAGAATTCCATAGGGATCTCGTCTGGCCCGGTCGCTCTACCCTTACTCATCCTGCGCATAGCCCCTACGACCTCCCCTACACTTATGCGTCTATCGTACCCAAAATCCTGAATTCGCTCCGAGTACTCCAACTCACCTAGCACAATGCTCCTATCTCCCTCTTCATTCAAGAGTTTACACAACTGCTCAGTGGAAAGAGTATTTTCAACTTTGGAGTTATTGCATTGATTTATTTACTTATTAATATATTTCTTACGTTCATACTTCTAAGTAAAATCTCAATCTTGTAGACATTGGGTACTCATGTATGGTATATCTCCTCAGAAGTTGAACTACTATTGCAATTTTCTTATGGAAGTTTTACTAAAAGTCTTGTTGAATGAGAAAGTGTTTTGCAACTGTAAAAATACCTCTGAAGTACACCCATTGGTTGAATGTGTTTTAGAGTAGTGTTCTATATTCTTGCCAACGGTTGTATGTTAAAGCTCATCCATTTTTGCCTTTCTTGACAGGTCTCTTGGGAGTCGGAGATGGTTCAGCGAAGGACTTAGCATTGGTGTTTGTCGGTTGCTTTCTGTTTCCTTTTCCTAATGTGTGCAAAATGTGGTTCATTTTGACTGATGAAAATAAAATTTGTCGTACTGCAAGTTCCTAACGTGTATGCGTTTATACTTAGTATTGTCATGCCTGGAATAGGCAAAACTGGTTTTGGGTTGTTTTGCGCCCGTTTTAAGGACTGGGTGTAAAGATTTTTGCTGCGTCCCAATATCTACAGCATGTTATCTGATAATCTCATTATGTTGTTACCTTGCTTACGCTACTCTTGAAAATCATTTTTGGCGAGTTCTGGCGAGTTCTGGGAACACATGCCTCTGGCCAAGTATGGGAGACCTGGCTACATCTGTTATACTATTAATCATGGCCAGATTGTAGTATGGAGACAATAAATACAGAGGTACAAGTAATGAAAAGCTAGACGTGAGAAAAAGGTCAAGTGGCATTCTTCGTGGATGCTCCTAAGCCCCAAGGATTATATCTTGGTGTACAAGTGGCACGTTACTGACACTTAAAATCACCCGCTTCATCAAATATTTGTTCGTGATCGATGGCGTTTTAAACATGAGGCTGATATGGTTATCAAATAAAACTGACTATACGGAGAGTCAAGTTAATATCAAATTTGGGCATATGCTGAGACCTTGGGGTGGAAAAAGTAGATGTTGGAGTTTGTGGAGTGATCAAGGAGGGGCAAAGGTCGTTTCTTTTGTTTGGTAGTAATAGTTATGAGGCAAAACACTTAATAACGGGTTTTATGCCTTTTATGTCTACCTCTTCAATTTGAGGAAAAAAGGAAAAATGAAGTCTTCAATTTTGAACAGTTTTGAATTCAAAATTGAATATAAAGGATGAAATAGATCTCCCTTACTTTGCGTCGAAACCTTACCAAATGATTACAAGTGAATTATCACGTTTCGCTTGTGTCAAACAAACAAACGATTTTCAATTTAATTTATTCCTAAGAACGAATCTAATATCATGCGAGTATGTTGGGGTATGAGATCCTACCAAGATATCCAAGTTAAAATGAATTTGAGCAATTTAATCAGATATCAAAATAATCAATGTTATTAATGTTTGTACTCATCTGTTTTGATCTTTAAACTGCTGTATTTGGAATGTCATATTCAATTGAAACTCGAGCTAATAGATGGGATTTGTGTTTTTGACATATACATTTTTGTTTGGTTCCTATTTGGGCGGTGTTTGACCAAAAAATATAACTTTTGGTTAAAACAGTTGAGTTTAGATAATAATGTGTTAAACTTAGTTAATAATAATATTTCTAAATTTGAGCTCCGTAAACGTGACAAGTGTTAGGCAGATCTAGTGGTGGATTGACAACGATATGCATTAACTGTTCCAAAAAGTATGAGCAATAATGTAGCGATAACTAGCAATAAATAACAATAAATGACAATAAATGACATTTAAGTAAATAGGAGGAGTGATTCACCCAATAAATGATGAACTAGATGATTGTCTCTCTTGACAGTGATGAGTGGCAGACAAATCCTAAAATGTTCGAGTTATTCTCGGATCTGATGGGAAAGTGTGGAATAATATGAGCAAGAATATGATGAAAAGGTAGTGTTTGTATCTTAGTAAGAGAGAGAAAATCTTTTATCAAAAGTTTGTTCTTATCAAAAAATGAATATCCCCTTTACACCATTGCCTTTTCTCTATTTATATGAGACATTAGCCTAACAAACCCTAATAATATAAGTGTAGAGAATATCCACTAAAAAACTCTCTTTAATATCCTATTTCAAAAACTAACGGTGCTCGGCCTCGACCATTGCTGACATGTCGACCATGAGTCTCACTGTTTCCTCGTCGACCTCGACTGATGACGACTCGAGAACTCTTCCTTTGATGTCATCTTATCTTAAATATTCTGGGGCAGATTTTGACCCATACAGTTAGTCCCTCTGCTTATTGAGGCCGACCTCAGGCGGGTTTGATGAGTGAATTCTGTTTAATGCGGTTGAAACGATTGGACGAGCTGACCGAGTCGTGATGATTGGGGCGAGATGGCAGCGTGGCCCTTTGTGAACTGCAAACTCTGGAGTTGTGAGTTCCACGAATCAGGGTGACATCATACATCATTATGACGTGTTTACCTGATACATTGCTTCATTTTGCGTGCGTCTTTTGATTGAATCCGCTGCTTCGGTTACAGTGCCAGGGAATGATGAGTTAATTCCTTGGTTTTGACGCTTGAATTTCTATAAATAGTGGTGTATGGGTATAGTTTCAGCCTTTACGAAATTCTTACATCAAAAGCTCTGTACCTTCTTCTTCCTCCTCCATTGTTGTGCATTTTTTCTTCCTGTTCTAACGATCTCTATCGTTTTCGGTTCTCCGTTGTTTGATACCTTCCTCCCTCTCGTTGAAAATATGTCTAACAAACCTTTCGGGCCCAGCGAGGGAAGTGACCCGGTCCCACTGGCGATTCTCTTTCCTCCTCATGCGGAGAGCGTTCCTACTGCTACAAAGGATGGAAGCTTCCCGACTGTGGAAGAGATAGTTCCACGCAACCCCGACGTTAGGTCTGATTTCTCGAAGCGGCTTGAAGCCGAGACTGGAACCTTTAAATCGGCGATGACGGAGGCCGATTTGTCAGAGCTTAAAGCAAAGTACGGCCTTCATGACCATGTCGAATTGATTTCCGTCGGGTGGGATGCGGTGCACATTCATGTCGGCTATACTTTTCCTAATCCCTGTGGTGGAGGAATTCTGTCGCTTCTATGGCGTTTGCCCGACTTAACTCGCACCGTATATTTACAAGCTCATCAGGATGTTCACCAAGTTCGCTGAGTTGGCCGGGGTCGAGATCACACTTCGACATATGATGCACCTGTTCGCCCCCAGCTTTTACAGAGGGACGATGCTGAATCTCCGCCATCGAGGGGCAAATGACTGGTGGTGAAGATGGACGATAAGGCTAACCGCCAGTTCTCGCTCAACTTCTTCTTCGTTAGAACTGAAGACGTGGTAGCCAACGTCGACGGCTTCCCCGAAGCCTGGAATTGCACTCGTAAGCGGCTCGCTCCCTTGCTCGTAGGTAGTTGGTTTACTTGGCTTAGTTGTGGATTCTGACCCCTCGTCCTTTTCTTATGCAGCCAAGACCTCGACTCCCCCTTTGGTCGATGAAATTTCTGGTTGGGTTGGCCAACTCCTCCCTGACATCGCGGGAATTCACGATTGGCCGGGCTTCTTCAAGAGGTTTGGGCCGGCTCCTCCTTTGACTAGTAAGTTACTTTCGTTTTTGTTTCATTGGTTATTTCTCTTATGTGGTTGTTTTGGCTAACTCTCTTATCCTTTTGCACTTCCCTTGATTACAGCTAGGGGGTCCTCGAGGAGGTCGAGAGCTCCCGCTCATGCATTTCATAAGAGGAAAGCTGCCGCCTCTTCGGCTCCTTCCCCTTCTCCAACCGTGGCTGATTCTGGTCACTCCTCGATACCACTTGCTGCTACTCCCGCATCAACTCCTTCTTTATCTGTGAAGACTTTAGTAGTGGAAGCCTCGTTTTCTCCCTTGTATCGTCTCAAAGACGAAGATGAGAAATCGCAGCCAGGTGATGGGGACTTGATGTCCCGTAAGAAGAGATCGTTGGACGTGGGCAACGGGGTTGCCTGGGCCGTTGATTCCGTGAAGGATGACTTCACGCTTCATGAGACGGCGACTATCGTCATAGAGGACGATGTCAGGCCCACGCTTGAGTTACCGAGGTCGGTGGAGGCCGCCGAGGGTGTATCTCATCCTTATACAATGATGGAAACCGAAAGGCATGCTCCTAGGACTGATACTTCAAGGCAAGAGGGGTCGTCGACCTCGCAGCCGGCTGATGATGCTTCTTTGCCGGCTGAATGGAGAGGCAAAGTCGTTGCCGAAGATGGCTATGAGATGGGTTCAGACTTCGACGCCGCAGAGTTGAGGATGATGGAGAAAGGATTTAACCAGCTCGAGGTGTGGCTGGAAGGATCTACGCGGACCATTGCGATTCCCATGGATCGTGATCTATTGAAGAATACAGAGAACGTGGTCCCTGCCCTCAACCCCCTTTGCTCCGACGTGGAGTATGAAACCCTCAAAAGGCTGGACGGTGTCACTTTATCGAGGAGCATAGCCGGCCTTGCTCTTAGGGTAAGTATTTCAGGGCTTCATTTTTCTGTCCGTTATGTTCAAAATTTAGGGTCTGTTTTTAGTGCTTTGCCTTTGTCAGCGGAGGCGTTCTCATTTTTGTATTTCCTTCTTTTTCTTTCTTTTTATAACTACATACCATGATCTTGGAGATTGAAAGTGCCCGAAGGGAGGAGAGGCGTAAGGTGATATTCGCGAAGTTGCAACACAAATACTTTGGTACTGAGGCAAGTACTGACAGTTTCACAGGCGGTTTAGCGAGGGCAGAAACCCGCAGACCCTTCGTGATGAGCTGAAGGAGAAGGATGACGAGATGGTGAGGGTCATCGAGAAGTGCAGTGTCCTTGAGGGGACGTTGAGAAGTAAGGAGGAAGAGCTCGAGGTCAGCAGAGCCGTGGAGGCCCAATGTGGCGACCTCCAGACGCAAGTGGTCGAGTTGCGCAGCCAATTGGAAGAGTGCCGCCTACAGATAGAGGTTCTTCATGGAGAGGTTACTGAGAAACAGAACGAGCTGGAGAAGGCGGAGTTTTCCCGTTTGGAGGCTCAGAGAAATTCGGAGAAGTTAGAGTTGGCAAATAGGACTCTCCGGGCTGAGCGGGAGATTGACCAATCTATGGAGAATGCAAAAGAAGATAGATTGGAGGAGAGGATCAGAGAGCTGAAAAAAGACAACTCCATCCTTTTGGACCAGGTGGCTGCCTTACAAGCTGAGAAGTCTCAACTGCTCGCACAACCGTCATCCTCTCGCACTTCAAATTTTCCAAACATTCTCCGGGACCTGTCCCAGGAATGGATTCATGCTGAAGCTCAGTTGGATGTGTTCCGTGATTTGTACAAGGTAGGTTATGTTTCTGCGGTTGCCCTTGATGATGTTCGCATTAAAGCCCGCGAGTCTCGGGTCACCTATGGATATGATCCCGCCACGCTTGAGGCTGGTGACGATGAGGGGTACGGGGACATGGACTGGCTTAAAGAGAACGCCTAGTATGATGTTGCGTACCCCGAGGGCGATAGTGATGATGAAGGGGGAGATCGAGATGGCCCAAGTGGTCAGACGATGGTACTGAAGGGCCCAATGGCGGCGA